CTGCCTCTTTATTAGCACAAACAATAAAAGCAAATTCAGCAGTGATGAAAACACAAATCGAAGCTACTCCACAGATTATAAATTATGGAACAACTGCTGTAATGTAATATGAGATCGTCTGGTTAACCTATTACTTGAGAGTAATCCAGCAGCAGCATGGCTGAGGGCTGCTCTACTGACTGAGTAAAAAAGTGCATTACAGTAGCTGTTAGAGATAAACGAGCACCTCCAGCTTCTCTTAAACGGTGCATCTAAAAGTATTAATACTTCTTAGGTGGAAAAAAAGATCTAGAGATGTGTTTAACATGGATGCTACTCATGTTGAACTCATGATTCACTTGGTTTAAATGAAAAGATATAGCTGGATATCATCGGCAATTAAATCGCTTTAATAGTAAAATTCCCATCGAAGAAAATATAAAATTAAAAGCATCATGGGGCAATTCAGCAGCTTTCTTCTGGTGCTTGGGAGGAAAAAAGTATCAGTGTGGACATGCACATGTATTTGTGTTTGTAAATTTTGGGAGGAGAGTATTTAAACGAATCATACAAATGTGTTTACTGAGGTTTGCAGCAGCCTGTTGACTGTTACATATGTGCAGGAGAGCTGCAGCTTCACATGGAAGAGCAGGCATTTACACACACGATGCAATAACAGAAACTTCTTTAATATGCCAATGAGTCAGGATTAGATGGTAAATAAAATTTTGTGTTCTTCTGCATACGTAGATCAGCTGATCTAAGGTAAATATACTGGAATACTTTAGAACAGCGGTCCCCAACCTTTTTTTGCACCTTTTTCTGACAATATTTTCATGGATCGGCCTCTAAGGTGTTGCGGCTAAATACAGCAAAACAAAACCAGTACCAGTACCAAAAAAAAGATTTATTCATAACACATGGGAAAAGACCCAGGGAAACCAAGTTAACGCTAAAAACGCAAAAAAAAAATAACGATAAAAACCCTGAAAACCATAAATTTCACACCCGAGCCTAAACTCTCGCGGCCCGGTACCAAACAACCAGTCCGAGATTTATTTTGCATGAAACCTACACTTAGACTTTTGTTAGTATGTTTCTCACTCATTCAATGGGTTTGCTCGCTTGTAAGACAGTGGGGAAATATCAGGCATAGTCCCCAAATCATCTAACAAAATAAAATATAAACCAGTTTTAAGATGTGCCTGAAACACCAGTGGTCACTGGTGTTACAAAGAACCAAAGCATCCCATTACCCCCTGCAAACACAAAGTTGTTTCAAAAACAAACAAAGGCTGGTATTTTTCTTGTCATTCACTGCGTTAAGCCCCAAATCAGCCTGTTTCTGCAGTGCAGTTTGAGTTCTATTGATCCAGCATAAACAGCTTGGTTTTATCTTTTTGTAAGAAATATATTAGAAATACTATGCTGGAACTTTTTGTAAAAATCATGCATTTATTTACTCAAAGATGGATTTACAAGAATGCTTGAATAATTAAACGTTTTCGTCCAGTGTAAATAGGCAGCGGACACAAATTATAGCGAGGGTACTTCCTTTTCAAGAGAAAGAAAGACAATCCCAAACTTTTCCTTGTGAAGCACATTTATCCACAGTAATGCTTCAACAAGATTCACAGAAATTGATGGAGACATTTTCAATTGTGGGGCTTGCAAACTACCAGCCACAGATCCTTGAGCCCGCACATTAAAGTGTCCTGTCCCTGAAACAGCCTCAGCCTCTCTGATGGATATTCCAGCAGTGAATGAGGCATTCATCATCATCATCGTCCTCATCCTCATCCTTAGCCAGTGATGATATTCAGCTCTGTCTCAGGTCTTCATAAAGACGACCTGATGAGGTCACCGGAGGTGCAAATATGTGTGCGTGCATGCACACACACATATTCTCACAGATGCTGCACAACAAGTGCCTACAGAGAATATATGTGTAGCTCAAACCGTCAGCCCAGATGTTGCAGAGACAGCGTGCTACAGTAATTAGCATGCTTGTGCTGGGAGCTGCATTGTTGATATGCAGTCCATGTCTGGATAAAGAATTCAGTTTCTCTCCAGCTGGCTTGGGCTCAGTGCTTTGCTAGAAATCATCCCTGCCGTTCTCTCACTGTGCACTTATATTTCTCAGTCTTTCCAAGCCTTTCACTTCATATTGAGCTCAGCGGCTCTCGGCTTTATTTGTTCGAACACATGAAAGAGTCGTGACATTAAATGGATAGAACCAAATAAAAAAAAACAAAATGAGTAAGCTCTTGGTGTTTTACGTTTAGCATAAGTCGTTAGAGCTTAAAATGATTAACATTGTGTTGTGAATTAAATATTTAATTTGGTCATTGGTAATTCACCTCATTATTCTGGATAAAGGAGACATAAGCACAAATAAACAACTGGGAAAAGATGCATCAGAACTGCCTTTATTTTTGCAGTATCGACATGTAGACGTGAAAATGATAATGGCTAAATCAACCTATTCACATTTCACCAGTTTAAAGAAATGTAAACAAATACAGGCTATAGATGGGGCACTAAATGAATGACTGAATCTGTGAAATGCTTCTCTTCAATTCTTGTGGGTTTATTTATGTAGAACCAGCTGACAACGGTCACTTCAAAGTGTTTTACACCATAAGAGAAGATGCTGCAACGCTCTGACATGAGCAAACACTTGGCGACAGTGGGAAGGAAGAACACAAGTCAATGCCATTACATAATAAAAACACAAGGAGTGAATCCACATACAGAAAGTTCATTTACAGAGAACAGCAAATGTAAAGTTGTATATAGTTGGTGGTGGATGGAGCCAATAGACCTTTAATCAAAGCCAAATGAATAATGCAAGTCAATGCTGACAGCTCTCATTAGAATAAAACACAATGATGTGAAGCCAGAAACCCAACCTCGTCTCATCATCCGAAACAGATGCTAAGTGACGAAATGAGCATCCTTCGAAACATCTCAGTGAGTTTAATCGTGGGCACGTGATGGAATGAATTACCTTAACATGAGCAGCACGTGTGAACAGGACCCCTCAGTCATGACTCGCTCTGCTGCCTTTTCACAGCAGGAACCTTCAAGCCGTGAAGTAGTTTGATCTCCTTTGTCTTCTGGTCCTTGACTGAAGCAGCGGTGCATCATGCGGGAAGCTGTGAATGGGAGCAGCGAGGCAAGCGTTCACATATAAATCATCCAAAGTGGTGACCTCTCTTTGAGGGTGTTTTAGAAGTTAAGCAAAGAGGTGCTCCTTCAGTCCTGCTATTCTGAAGTTGAGGTAAAATTTGAAATGACGACTTTTAGTTCCCTTGAGCTGTGTTTCAAACTTAAAGGGTTTAAGTGTGTTTTGTTCAACACTAAAATATAACCGAGATGGACTCAATGGTTGGATAGTGTCCCAGTATTCTCAGAGAGTGGTTAATGTCTAAGACGCACCCTACAGATGTTTCAATGCACTTTGCATCCTGATTACCTCTGTGATTGTTATTCTACATCTGCACTTGACCTCTGACCTTACAGGAGGCCCGATAAGGAGAAGCTGGAGGGATTTCCAAATGCACGAAGCACTAAATGCCAAAAATGACCCACAGTGAACATTAGGGAACCTTGCAACTCTGAAACCCAAGACTACAAGATCAATCTCAGCGTGCTATAAATGTTAATGCAGTGGTAACCCAATGCAAATGACGCACATAACGCAGCAAAAACAGCAATGCGTAGAACCACAAACCTACTTTTGGCTTTGTGGGGATGGCTTTCTATTGGATTAACTTGAAGTGGGCACTCTGACTCAGTGCAGAGATACAGTAAAGGATACGTAAGGATATACCTACACACATCCCAATTTAGATTCACCGCGCATCCTCCTGCTATCATCATTTCATGCTTCGACCACTCAAAGTAAAGAAGCCCTCGGGCAGAACAGTAAACAGCGTTTGATGTTGCTGAACTGCATCCCAGCCTCATAAAAGAGGTAAATTCGAAGAATTTAAGGAATGCTATGTGCTTTGAAACATTAGGCACAGCAGACAGGTTGAAGCAGTATCTAAATGCAGCACAAAATAGGGTGAAAAACAACCAGAAATGAACGGTATGATGTGGGTGTTGATGGAAATGGAGTCTTTTTTGTTTCTTTTTTTTGCTCGAGAGAGAGGCAGATGTTGCAGTAGAGGGAGGTGGTGGTGAAATGAGCGGTCTGTGGAGCGATCAGTGAGGAATGATTGGGAGATTCTGGAGGGATTTGGTGGTTCTGGTGGATTTTTGCTCTATTTTTTGAAGTGTGTCACATCTTTAAGCCCCCGATATGATTCTTCTTTAAAGATTCTTTGGAAGTCAGTGAATTTCTTCCTAATTTTCTTTCTCTTGTGGCTTCCAATAGTGTTTTTATCCACATATCTTTAAGAATTTTACTAGAAATCATTTTATTGCCTTGCTGCATGAGACAATAGGTTATGGAACCGTCTTTAGTAAAATAGACTAAAATATCAAAAGTATTAACTTTGTTAATTATCTGAATTTCTTTGACTGTCTGTGTCACTTCCTGTCTGAAAGCCTGTTGAAGCCACAGCTGTTTTCAGGCACTGATGTTTCGCCTCTGCTGGCTCAAGAACTGGTGATTCAACCGACATTTAAACTGACGACTCCGCTGCTTTCAGTCTTTACAACTTAACTGACACCTTATGTCCTTTCTGCATGCACAACACTTATTAATATTCAGCCGATGTTTCAGTTGTCTCCAGTCGTTATCGGTTAATCAACGTTTTATTTCATCAGTTACTTTTTGTTTAACCGTTCGATCGACACCTCAGCTGCTTTAATGCAGTTTCACTGATGTTCATCTTCATCTTTGACTTCTTGTGTCAATTTCATTTAAGTAGAAACTTCTTTAGTCTGTCATCCAGCAGATATGTTTATAATTTACTGGGTTGTGCTGGGTTTCTGATCGACATTTAGAGTGTAGTAACAGCAGGATGTGTGAGGGTAGTAACCCGCCTCCCTATTTTCTCACATCCCAGAGAACCACTCTGCCCCTCCAGATGTCACCGGCTACACCAACAATACCGCCAACACCACCGCGACCGACGCCATCCAGGTGGAGAGAGCCCCAGGCGCTGGCACCGCAGCCCAAAGACAGACGCCCAAGTACGGCAACGCGGAGCTGATGGAAACTGGAGACGGTGAGTCAAGACTGGCAAATATGAACAGTTGCTCGTGTTTTTCAAGGTGAAATTCTCTGATTGTGTCGCATTTTCTTTGGGGGAATGCATCATATTTTCTGTCTTAGTGGATGTGAAGAACATCCTGATCATGATGAGAGAAGAAGAGCTGAAGGCTAGAATGTTTTGTTACTTTGGATTCATGTGAGGCTTTTATTGTGTTTTTTGTTGCTTTTGTGTTTCAATGTTTTCGTTTTAATTTTTCTTGCAAAAGTAAAACCAAAAAAGTTCATTGGTAATAATTTTCTGCAGGTGTTTCTCTTCTTCTTATCACAGGCAGGTGTATAATCTTGTAGTCTAAACAACACAAACTGTATCAGCAAAATCCAACAAAGAGTTTGTCTTCATTCATGGTTATATAAACCAGCTCTTTGTAGTCCAGACGTGGCGGGGGATCGGATTTGGTTCGTAATGCCTTTTAGCACTGCAAAAGATGAATCCACAGATTTCTGCAGAGACCTCAAAGATGACAGAGGTTGGCAGTTTGCTGGTTCGTAGTTCAATAATTCCTTCTCTGGAGGGACGCGAGGCTCCAGCAGACTGAGTTATTCATCAGACAATACACTGGATGCTGCCGCGGGCCGAGATGCTGAATGCATGAAGTGGTTTGATAGATCAGATGCCAGAGTTTGCACACGGGGCCCTGTCGGGATGTTTGGTTGGAAGAGATGCAACAAAGTAGACAGGATTTCATCTGAAATAACACTTTTTATTGTGTTGCTTCCAGTCGGGCTGCGCAGACTTTTATTTCCAAAGATGAGCTTTAGTCGAAAGATGTTTCATCATTAATACTTAGTGTTTGGATTTTTGAGGATTTAGCATTTGATTTTAGAGGGTTTCCTGTGGTAGTTTTAAAAAAAAAAGTATTATATTTAATTTTTAAGGCTTTTTTATCCTTGAAGGGTATTTTCCTTTTTGTAACTTGTGTACATTTATCCAGACGTCCATTGTTTTAACCACGTATGCAGTTCAGGTTTGCAGAGGGAGCCCAGCCCAGCTGTCATTGGGCAAAAAACAGGATACACTTGGACAGGTGGCTGAAGTACAGTATAAAACATGAGATTTGCAGTATGCAGTGGATCGAGTGGATCTTGCGATCCTGGTATCTAGAAACCCCAAATTTGAAAACAAAATATAATTTATCAGATGAATGAGAGTAGAGTCCTTTTTCTGGGTAAAGCAAATACTGTACCTCCTCTTGTCGTGCTTCATTTTCGTCTGCAGCGCCTCGTCGGTCACTGTTGCGACATGCATCTGTCGTTCACCATTTCATTCCCGCCCTGTTTCACCCGCTTTATGTTGAAATGTGGAGCACGTGTGCAGCATGTGTGGGTGGATTAAAATTTGCACCGCCAAACATTAACGTGCATTTTATGCATGTTCTTAATACGTTTTAAGGGGCAGAAGAAAATGTTTGGGTGAAAGAAATGTACTTCCTGGTGAGCTGCTGAGGTCAGTCGCAGTTTGAGTTTTACATGAATGTACATTAACATCCACCCACGCACGCACAGCTGGTGTGAGTGTTGCAAGCTAACCACTAACATCGGCAGTTCATACAGTGCAGTGGTCTTTTGCAAGGATAAGTACAATGAATTAAATGTTGCATCTTTTGACTGGATAAATGTGAAACAGCCAGGGATGGAAAAAAGACGCTTCCTTTGTGTTCAGTTGCTTGAGAAAAGCCTGACGAGAGAAAAGGCAAACAAAAACAGCATAAGCACCCGAGGACTGCGGAGGGTGAAAACAAAAGTATTCGAGTTTCACTGAGTAGCGCTCCTTTACCTTCACACACAGACGAAATAATCTTAACAACATCACGTCTGTCTTTGGCTCACCCTGCAGCCCAAACCAAGTCTGCCAGTACATCTGTTTACATCCACATTTAGACTTTCATTTTCCTTCTTTGTCTTAAGGCTACAAACTCTGTGGGTTTGAAAATGGCCTTAATGAAAGAGCAATTTGAGCCCACACCTCATCTCATACGCTATTTTTGCATTTTGAGTGTCATTTTGTACGGCAGCTGTCATGATTGCTCACTCGAGGGCTCTTCAGTGTAGTGTTAAAACTTGGGGATTTTTTTCTATCACGGATGAAACGGTGGGCTGCTCAGTGGAATCCGAAAGCAGCGACTACTTCACGTGTGCACCTGTGAAAGCGCAATTAGAAAGTCTAAGCTACGACTTGGATTAAAACGTGTGGTCTTTTTGTGTGTTTGTTCACGCTCCACAGGTGTTCCAGTCAGCAGCAGAGTTTCAGCCAAAATACAGCAACTCGTCAACACTCTGAAGAGACCCAAACGGCCGCCATTAAGAGAGTTTTTCGTCGATGACTTTGAAGAGCTTTTGGAGGGTAACAGCTTCTCTTTTCACTCTTAAAAATACTTGAAAATACGTGTTTTTGTATATTTTGATTCATGTTCTTGCAAAAATGTGTTAAGCCAATTAAGGAAAGACTTGGTTGCCCCCTGGTGCCTAGACCACCCCCTCATCCACATTAGAAGATGGGATATGAACATCGAGGGTGGTCAGCTAGCTGTTGTTCTCAAAGAGGATGCTGCACCAAAAACCTCCCTGTGAATGCTTTGATTGCTACCAGATTGCAGTGATTTGGTGTATTTTGCATGGAAGGTGCTGACTTGTCTGCAAACACTCGCTGAGCAGTAGTGAAACCTATGCAACACAAGCTGGAAATGGAGAACCTTCAAAGTAAAAGCTGTCCCCTACCATTGCAACAACTTTCCAAAAGGGAAACGTTAACTTTGCATCAGACTTCTCATAGTTTCTTCCAGCAGCCAAGAGATTACACATTTTTCCTTAATGACCAGTGGTTGCCGGGGTGTCACCAACCAGTCTTTAGGTAGCGTGGTTAGGGGCTAAATTAGGCTACTTAGCTTATCTTCTTATATTGGTGGCTTTTTGGGTGATTCCCTGACGTCTAACAGTTGAGTGAGTGAAACTGTAGTTATTATTTGTATATTACTTGGAGCTAATTAGCATGTTAATTAGCATGTGCCTGTGTGATGCACTCATACAGTTTATGCTAACCTAGCTTGTTAGCATTAGCTGATAACTTGGTACTCCAGCCTATCCTGATATTTTGGCTCCCCCCCAACACAGCTGGAGCCAAAATGCAAATCTCCAGGCTTAAAACAAATACGTAACATTACAATGATTCTGCCAGTCTTTCTTTCAGTGTTGACCTAAAGTTGAGTGGTGGTAAAAACATATATTTTGCTAAAACTTTTGAAAAATAATCTATGCAGACAAATGACTAAACCTCATTCCCTAAAGTCTCCTCTGACAAAGCAGAGTCTAACTGATGAATATTTCCTTCTGTTTTCAGCATCAAACGCTGCAGAGCCAGAAGTTAATTCATAATTTAAGCATGAATAGCAAATGTTGGAAAGACTCGGTTTGGTTCAGTATGTCGTTGAAATTCATTAGCAGGGCGTTTTGCTTGATTAAAAGCTCTTTCCTGTGAACTTTCTGTCTTACAGCAGTGGTGACACGCAGTAAATGTTTCATTATTCCTAACACGCACATTTCTACATGGCTGTATAATACAGTGAACTCATAAGAATAAACAATTCTGTATTATGATATTCTATCGATTTATACGGGTTAATTTAATATCAGCTTTGTCATATTGTTCATGTAAAAGGTCGCTGGTTGACATTATGTCTTTTCAATCTATTAAAAAAGCATAAAAGCAAAGTTAAAGATATTTGATGTCCTGTAATCTGCAATAAAAGTTGCAGATCGTAAAGAACCAAGAAACATAAATGTATTAATTTCACCGTGACCTGAACAGCTGGACTGATTATTTTAGGAAACTTGACTTAAATGGGAGAAAATAGTTCATTTGTGGTGGTTTGATGGTCGGGTGAATATTTTGGACGTGGTTGACGTGACCACCGTTTGCCTTTAAAACGTTTTACAGTAGTGGGCAGGAACGTTCCTCTTAGGAAAGTTCCTAGATTCAGGCGGACTCATCCGTCTCTTCCTGTAAATCCAGACTGACCTCACGATGTTGACCATCTGTAGCAGGTCTTCCAGTTTTTCCTCATGTGGCACTGGGTGTATGTCTGGCCTCGTTACCATGCTGCAGAATGCATTTGTGACCATATTTTCTCCACCTTATTTCCTAAAATAACTGGTCACTGTAATTTAAACAAACATTTAAAAGATATTTTAGTGAGTATTTTTGGTGCTTGTTAAATCAATCTTATACATATTATAAGTAAAAATGACTAAAATTTATTTTCTTCTTCTGTTTTCTCGTGCCCACTTGCAGTCCAACAGCCAGACCCTAACCAGCCCAAGGCTGAAGGGGCACAGATGGTACCCATGCGGGGTGAGCAGCTGGGCGTGGTGACCAACTGGCCCCCTTCTCTGGAGGCAGCCCTTCAGAGGTGGGGCACCATCTCTCCGAAGGCCCCGTGTCTCACTACCATGGATACTAACGGCAAGCCGCTCTACGTCCTCACATATGGTAAGTCTTGGAAATCCTGCATCGCGGCATGTCATCCCAAAGGTCAAGTCTTCGGATCTGAGCTGAAGGAAAAAGGGTTGAAATATTTTTGCGTGACGACGAAAATCCAAAATGAACATCGGACGCCTCACATGACCACAAATAAATCGTCCTAGCAACCAGTCTTCAAAATACTGTCATAACACACGATGAAAGAGAACAAAAAATGTTTGTAATATGTGCATAAAAGAGGGTTTTTCTTTTTCTTTGAACTGCATCTTGTTTTCGGCACATATGGTGGCTTTTCCAAGCTGATTAAGTGTAGCACCAAACAATGTTTAACACCCGCTGTGTGAGCATAATTCCCCTAATGGCAGCCAGACAGGGTGCTAAGCACATTAGCAAGTGTGAAGAAAGATGCCTGAAAAGAAAACTGCTCTGCTATAGAGGGTGGAAAAGTTTTTTTATCCTGAAGGTTCAAACTTTGAGAAAATGTTTTAAGATGAATTGTTTCCTGTGCGACTTTCAGCACAGCTTCTTGAAAAAATATGAAAACCTTCCTTCTGTGCCCTCTAGTATTAGTTTCTGTACACAGACTCGGCTGACTTTGGTGCTCTGTTTCAAACATTAATGGTTATGGACACCGATCTTTGCTTTTGCAGAAGCAAGCAGTGCTAGACCACAGTGCGTCCTGCAGAAATACAAATCCTATTTAGCCTCGAGTCGGTCAGCATAACGTAAACATTAACTAAAGCAAGTCTTTAGCAGCCATAAATGAGAACATGTTGCAAAGTAAACAGTAACATAACCCGATACCAAACATGTAACAGCCTTCTGGCCCCCAGCGCTGTCATCGTCCCAGCTCCCTAAACACATTCGCTGCAGCTGAATCCCATCACGTCGTCCCCCGGCTCAATGCCACAGTTTAAATCTACACCCAAATTGGAACAAGTTCTCTTGTTCTTCGCTTGAAGGCGACCGAGTTATTCATCTCCCAAACAGCAGCAGAGAAAACGACTTCAGGTCCGGAGGGTATGAAGAAATTTAGCTGCCGTGAACAGAGCTGCTTCTCTCAGGGTCCTCATGAATTTAGAGTCAAACCTCCCAGCTGTACAGAGGGGAGAATGAAATTACACTGAGAGGACTCCAGACACATCACACCACGCATACCCAGCATCACACAGGCATGCACCCAAATGAATTGGAAGAAGCTCTCAGATCTTTTACTTAAAGCTGCAGCGTGCCCCCCCAGTGACAACGAAGAGGTTTCATAACAAGTAAAAACCTCCGTCTCTAAGTCTAAAATAGTCAGTATATTACAATAATGAGTAGACTAAAGCATGCTAGTATAATTTTGTCCATAATCTTTACTGAGCCTTCGGGCTTTACTAAATTTCAGTTGGGTGTTTGTGTTAGAGGTGGATATATCCAAACACCGATAGCATTGATACCAACGCTGGTATTGGACCGATACTAGCGCGATAAGATTGATACATTGTTTCTGTTCAGTATGCAGTCCACTGAATTGTGTTGAATAAATTCTTTTTATGGAAATGGGAAAAAAAAATTCAGCCATCAACTATGAAAAATATCTGAACTGTCATGTCTTTTGTTTATATCCTGTGGCACAAATTTAAAAAAACAGAATTTGAACCGAAGGGCTTTAGAGAAAAAAAAAAAGTCTCCAAAATAGACAAAACGCTAAAAAGTTGTTGTGGAAAATAATCATAGTAATCTCAGTAAATCACAATGATTAAGTGGTCATTAAAAGCAGGTGCTTCAAAATAATGATTCATCTCATAAATCAACACACACTGCTCTGCCCTACATAAGCTTGTTTTGCCCCCTCAGCTGTAAAAGGTTGATGGGGTGTTGTTGTCACCCTGCCGGGCAGGTAGACAGGCGGGCAACACGGACACCCTAGTACAGCGGTCCTCAACCTTTTTTGCGCCACGGACCGGTTTATGCCCGACAATATTTTCATGGACCGGCCTTTAAGGTGTCACGGATAAATACAACAAAATAAAACTAGTACCGGTACCGAAAAAAAGAAGATTCATTCATAACACACGTGAAAAGACCAAGGAAAACCGAGTAAGCGATAAAAACGATAACAAAATAACGCTGAAAACCGATAAAAAGCCTGAAAACTATACATTTCACACCTGAGCCTCAACTCCAAACCAAACGACTCACGGACCGGTACCGGTCCGAGGCCCGGGGGTTGGGGACCGCTGCCCTAGTACACGGGTGTCAAACTCCAGTCCTTGAGAGCCGGTGTCCTGAAACTTTTACATGTGTCCCTGCTGCAACACACCTGAATACAATTAGTAGGTCATTAGTAAGATTCTGTAGACTGACTGCCTGCCAATGTGGCAATTCAGCCATTTGATTTGTGTTACAGCAGCTCATGAGTTAACATGATGCAATAAAAGTACTTTTAGAACTACATTTTTCCAAACACATTTACTTGAGTAGGGTTAGGGGTTACCACTTCAGCATGCAGTCAAGTTCTATAGAGTTTTGCCAAAGACCTACTAATTTTATTCAGGTGTGTTGCAGCAGGGACACATTTAAACATTTCAGGACATCGGCCCTCGAGGACAGGAGTTTGACACCCCTGCACTAGTATGTGAAATTGAGAGCAAAGCGGCGACCTCAATCTCAAATTCAAGGTCAGAGGTCAAGTTTTCTGAAAATCTTGTGAATGCAACAAATCTGTTAGGAGGCTGAGGGGTACACCTGGCCGTGCCATTATTTTTATATCTATCTTCACTTGGAATCGGATCAATATAATATGCACAACACTATGTATTTGTCCACCCAGCCCATCACCTGACACCTATTTCTTTTTTAAATGGCAACACTCCTTAAATGGGTCATATCAGAACAAGTGGCCAGTCCAGTGTTTCTCAGTAAGAGGCCTCGTTGTGTTCTGATTCAAAATGATGACGGTATCTAAAGATTCTCAGGTGAAGTTGAAGTACGCCTAAGTGTCATTTCTTATCTCTGCTGATGTTGATGGCGCTCGAGCACCTTTGTCGCACGCATGAGTTCACGCAGGATTAACATGAATAGGCGGCAACTTTACTGCAGGTGCTTCAAATTGGCACTGGATGTGTGTGTGTGTTTGTGTGTTTATTTGCGTGTGTGTGACTGAACTAACTGATTCGTGGGGAGCGAGCTCGCTGCCGATGATGAGGCGATATGAGCGCTCACCAGACTGTGAAATGTCTTCAGCCAGCGCTCGGAGACCGCCACCAGAGACAAAAACACGGTGAGATTATGTGTGCGTGTGTGCAGTGCAGTGCTGAATCTAAAGTTCAGCCATTCTCTTTCCATGTCTGCCGCATCTTTCATTCCTGTCGTGTCTTCCCTTTGATGTCGGCCAACAAAGACAAACTTGTTTTGTATCTTCCTTTCGAGTCGTCCTCCGCCTCTGGAGAACAGAGAGAATTCATGATACAGAATTCTCCGGCTGTCCTTAAACTCAACCCTCACCGCTCTGCACTGCAGATAACCCCACGTAAGAGGCAGGAGACAGACATATTTCTATTTCAATAGACGAGAAGTTTCTCGGCACGCTTTGATCCTGTGGTGTTATTCTCCAACAAATCACATTATCGATAAATCTGCACGGATTTGTGTTCAGCGTGCAGAGGAAGCGTAAACTTTTTATTTCTCTGTGTTTGGGATGCTCTCGCTTTGATGTCTTCCTTTGATTACCCTTCTGTCCATCTGCTTTTGTTTGGAGTGTTCTCTGCAAGAAATACAAATCCTGTTTAAGCACCAGAGTTCTGTCTGCAGATGTTAGCTCATCATCTTTTCTTATGTCTCCACTTAATCCTTTACTTAGAGGCAGCGCTACTGGTAGTAAACAGTATGTTTAACAATCTCATGGAGCAAATATGGAACTTTGAACTCTTTAGCTGAATAATAATAATGTTTTCTCCATAGACTGTATATAAAAAAGGGACGTAACCATCAGGACATCATACATTCGCTTCTGGACCGATTTGAAGTCCCAAAGTTAGCAGTTTGGCCTCCTTCAAGTTTGTTTTTTCAAAGTATAGAAAGGATCATATTACGATGAGGGTGTTATGAGCTAACAATAGCAATCTTCATATTTTAATAACATTTAAATTGGTGAGTTATAATTCACCACACAGCCTGCAGCCATGTATATTTATGCTGTAAGGATGGGCATTTTAACAGGAAGTCTGTGGGGATTTATGCTCTTGTACAAAAAGCCTCAAGTGGTCATTAGAGGAACTACATCTTTTTATTTTTTATCTTTTTGCACGCCCACGTTGGCTTCATTTTTAAGCCCTGGAGTTTGCTGCATTATCTTTGTCTTTCTAGAATAAAAAAACAGAACCAAACAAAAGTACTTTAAAGTTTTCTTAATTAAAAAAAAAATCAACCAATGAGAACTCACAGGAATAGACTTTTTTTTTTCTTGTACTATAGCATTTATTAGGAGGACATATTTAAATCTTTAGGATTTATTTCAAGATAAATGATAAATTTCATAACTTCCATGCTGAGTTTCAGCTTTCTTATTTTTGGACTCCAGTCCAAAAATGCACAGCTTCTCTCTACTAGAGCAGAGAGAAGCTGTGCATTCTTCACAGTCCAGAATCATTATATTCATCATTATGTTTATCTCATACTGGGAATTGGTTCAGATCCTTAGTTTATCCCAAAATCAATAAGAGGCAGTCAGAGGAAATAGAAGTCCACAGGTCCACCAGTAGATAAGTTCGTTTATAATTTTCTCCAACAAGCTTTCCTGACATCACCTGTAAACAACGGGACATAGGGTGCTTCGCTTTTAAGAAATTATGTTTGTAGCTGATGTTTGTCTGCAGTTAACTTTGCTTTTTGTGGTCCAAACTGTCTGTTTTCCTCCTGGGATCCTAAAGCTTTTCTTCATTTCATTAGTTCAGACAAACACCAGGAAAAAAAAACTCATTTAGCATTAAAAAAAACAAGAAAGAATTCATGCTGGATCGCCCATGCATAATATCTGCATCTGCCAGTCTGAATTAGGGGGGGAAAAAGAAATAGGAAGGAAATTGATTCCATTGTTGTGAGTTACTGCATTAATGAACAGAGCGGCAGTCTGCCAGGGAAAATGAAACCGATCAGAAAGATCAGATAATATTTAATAACTTTATATTTACAGGGAGATTGAAAGTTCCTTTGACAGACACCTTCTGTAAGAAGAAAGTATTTTTAAACTGCTTTGTAAGCGTTTGGTTTGTGCTACCTAAAGTTTAAAGTAACAGCTGCACTTATCTAGACACTGAATCTCTTTATCTGTTTAGTGTCATCCTAATGCAGCCTACATGACTTCCTTTAATGTCCCGAGGCTTTGACCATAACTGCAAAGTATCAGCCTGCATGGATCCAATTACACCAAAGCCACGAGGAGCATTTGATTTATTGGATGTTATGAAATCTATACGATTACCTTCATAGCAGTCCGCCCACAAGGTGTACCGTCAAACTTCAAAGTATTTTAAAAATCACGTGTCATATCAGTGCTGTAATTTGTTACATATGGGGGCTCATGTTGTCATCCTCTGTTCCCACAGAGATGTTTCTTTCATGCTTTTATTGGGTACAGAAAGGCTTCCTGACAGTCCACCTCTTGATCTCTAGAGGACGTATTTCATCAACAACATCTTGAACTTGTTATCGGTCACTTCAAACCGTTTCTCAAAGACGTGCTTCACCTTTTATCTGTCTGCCCGAGCTATTGTGTGACGTCACCGTTTAAATGTTTTTGCAGGTAAACTGTGGTCCAGAAGTGTGAAGGTGGCGTACAATCTGCTGCACAAACTGGGAACCAAACAAGAACCGCTCGTGAGACCTGGAGACCGGGTGAGTGAGGCAAAAGCATTCATGATGGGCTGAGATGGAGAGAGCCGCAGAGAGAACAAAGGGGAAGATTTTCCAAGGGGGGGAAATGAGTGCGAGGCCGCAATTGGGGGAAAAAGAGAAAAGGATCTGCAAGTGATCTGCTAACACAGAAACAAGCAGTTCTTTCCAATAATGCGTTGGAGGGTCATCAGATGTGGCTTTATGAGACACCCAGTCAACCGTCAGACCTCAGTTCTTGACGTGGGAATTGTTTTAGTTTATTTTAGCTCGCTTTGTTTGGTTTCTGTGTTATTTTTTTAAATTGTTATGAGTTTAGAGCAGGTTATGTAATCCAGTATGTTTGAGACACTCCCATGTAGTGTCAGTAAGCGTGTGCACAAGGGCCTCATGCAGGAACTGCACTGTTTGCAGCTCCCACATTGGCTTCAGTTTTCAGCTCCGGAGGGTGTTTTTGTTTTAGTTTATATTTCTTGTTTATTTGTTTTTTTTAAAAACTGAAAGGATTGATCGGAGAGCCTGTCACTGTCCATGGTACTGAAACATAAAAACTGTGCATCATGAGGCTCGCCGAAGTGTTAAAGTTGATAATATGCTGCTTTACTTCACGCAGAAAGAACATCGGGCCAGTAAATGAAGGTTGTTGTAGCGACAGCAGACACATTTTTTCTAGTTCATGTTGTCTGTGAGTGAAAACAGCTTGTGGTTAGAAAACAACTCTGTGTTCTTCTTCTAACAAAATATTTTGCAAAGCGTGTTAAGACTGCATTTGTCATTCGGTTAAGTATTGTTGCAATTGGCTACTAATTGACTGCTGTAAACTTTAGAAATAGTTGCTGTATGATTCATTTCAATGCACTCTTTTTAAAATATTGGAACTTTAAGTGAAATTCATATGCAGTAAAGTTAGCACCAAAAGAAGTGTGACCATACGTTTCTATGTCTAACGTTTCACTGCAGGTTTTCTCTTTTTTAATCCTTTCAGACAGATAACGGTGCTGAAGGTCGCTGTGTTCCTGGATAGTAATTATAATTGATTTTCATTGTTATCACCGGGCAGTCAGACTGGTTTACAGTTTCATTACATTTTTCCTTTTCAACCTTCTGTTTTGTTCAGACCTGTCAGTAACAAGTGACACATTTTTCCTGCATATGACACTTTTCATCAACAAGGAAGCTGTCAGAGCGGTTTCCTGAAGCAATTCCTTTTTT